CATAATTTTAAACCTAACGTTAGTATGAGATGTATTCACCCTATTTCATGTAAGGTTAGTTTGTTTTTTTCTAACCTGCGTTCCGCAAAAACTAAGTAAAGCATGGTCATTAAACTAAGTAGTACGAAGGGTGACTGGGGTTAGATGAATCTCATAAGATAACATTGACAGTAAGACTTTCATTTTATATAAATTTGAATGAATCAGATAGCTGAAGGTCGATCCCACCAGAAGAAGACGGCTGATTCCCGTCTTATTGCAGCCGTTTGGCTTTTATATAACGTTCAGTTCAACGCAATCCACGATGCATTCTACCTCATTTCAGATGAAAATAGGCAGATTTTTCACCCACCATGTAATTAACGCCATCAGAGCTGGAACCCGTTACTTTAAAACTATCACACTAACACTAGGTATTCATAGCAAGTTGTAAAAAAGAAGGTCTTCTCCTTGACTTAGTGTTAACGTGAGACTTTTATAAGAATCAGTTCCAGCTCTGATCATGCCCATTATAATACGGACGTAAGCTTAGCTAGCTTTAACCCGAAATGAGGGAGAATGCCTCGTGGACTACGTTAACCTGAACGTCGTCTTAGCAATAAACGGCTGAAGTACAACGGGAATTAACCGTCGTCTTCTGGTCAGATCGACCTTCGAATCTTTTATTATGTGCTCTCAAACAAAATGAACGTCCCCCCAACAAACTTACGAAGAAGTAGCAAATGAGTTTGTACTTAAGACAATGAATCAATATTTTATTTGCAGAATAACACATTTATTTGTTGAAATTTTTGACTTCTGGAATAAAAGATTATTCAATAAGTCATCTTGTAGCAGACCGTAAATCAATCAAAGCAATGCTTTTAACTTATAAGCTTATTCTAACATCCCCATTTTACATGAAGTGATATGTTATTTAATAAGTGCAAAATAATCAATAAAATAGTTCATTATTCAAATTGTTGTAACAACTAATACATTTATATCATATACCAATCGATTAAATAAGTTAATTGTTTAAAGATTATATAAATCTAATTTTGCATATCCATATCCCGAAATTTTCATGCAATATAGTTAAAGTTAATTTTACCTGCTGTAAAATTTACAACCATTAGGCTATAGTATTATATATTATTATTTTAGTATTATAACGAGGCCTACGAGAATCCTAAATAATTTAGTTATATACTCCTACCCAAACTAGAGACCAAAACACTGTTTAATACTGGCTTGGATGAAAAATATATAACAAACTTTGAATCCCCAAACAATTATATGGTAGTTTTCAAGTTACATTAAAAAATGACTACTACCTTAGATTATATGTGCTTAACCACTCTTTACATTTTAAAACATCCGCAATTTTGCTCTGTAAAATTGTATATTCTAAAAAATAAAAATAATGCATCTTTTGTGTTCAAAATTGTAAAAAGCACCGAATCCTATTTGGTTGAATGTACAAATGTAAAATAACATTGTTGCCTAATTTTTTAAATATAGACAATCCTAAAATAGCCTTCTGTTTGGCCGTGCGATTTGTTAAATATTTACACATGGTTATGTTAGCGTCCGTGACTTGCAATGAACTCTCTCAGCATCTTTCCGTCTTTGGGGCTTTTTCATATACTCATCGAGTATAAGACTGATTTTGCTTTGTTGAATGCATTTTCTGATTGCCAGTTCAGATTTGGCCATATTCTCGGCTTCGCATTCACTTTTAAATCCGTCATGGCTTTTCTGGACTGAAAGATGCGTTGCAGTCTGTGCGTTGTACGAACATGCCTTTGGGGTGGACTCGGTGTCAATAATCCTGCGCGAAACATAAGGCAATGGGGCCTTGGTCAACTGGAACTGCCGCCTCACGAGGAAGAAGCTCTTGTGTGCATAATCTCCGGCCCTGAGTCTCTCTCGAGGAGACGACGGCGACGACGACAAAGCAACAGCAGCAGCAGCCAGAGGATGAGGAGGTGGCGGAAGAGTGATCGTGTTGTTTCGCTGCAAGCCAGACGGGCCCGCGGCAACAGGAGTCGTGGCGACGAGGAGGCGGGTGGAGCTGGCGAGGCCGCGAGCGGCGCGTCTTGTCTGCGCGGCTTCGGAGTGGGCCGGATTCGTGGTCGTCGAATCGGGCAGGCCCGA